CCCCCCCCCTCACAAAAATATTATAGATATAGATAGCATTTGTATAGCGCAAATCCCCGCTTAACAGCAAGCTCTATGCGCTTTACAATCAAAACCACTACCTCAGCAGACCTGAGAGCATTCTGAATCAATCTCAACTTCCTTGGAAGCAAACAGTACAATATTTCATTGATAGGCGATTGAACACTAACATATTGAAAAGACATAAGGAAAACTCGTGTTATGTGCCTTCCCCAAGGACACAACGTCGGGCCTTCGGCTCGAACCTCAGAACTTGCAATCTGACGATTACGAGTCCGGTAGCCTAACCACTAGACTACCGGTGTCACAAACTTTAGTTTAGTGCACAAAAAGTGTGCACTACAATGTACAAGTTTTCCCCACTAAAAAGTTTCATAGGTGAGCCGTGACGTAGGCTATATGCGTATGCGTATGCAAACATGTAGATCTTCGTGAAAAGCGGAAAGTGTTGTGAACAGTCCCATTTTCCGAGCGACAGAGACTTATACTTTTAGTATTTTATGGAAAAGTATGATTAAGTTAAGATAAGTTGATACAAAGTGATGTGCAAACTATGGGTGACATTGGTTCACCCGTTAAATAGATATCTGAGAAAAACGTGCGCCATAAATTTTGGCCTCACTCTACAATTGGTCGCTTTTAAGCACAAGGGGGCTATCTCGAAAAATGCTGTTTTGATTAATAAATCGAAGGAAAAGCTTTTGCCCCTTGTTCAGTTTCCTTAAAAGACAAGGAAAGTATTCTCTCTAACCAAACATATATACTCACCAATGAAACCAAACTTCTCCTATAGGTAGAGCAATGCCCACTTTTGGTGTATGTCAAGATTTCTGGAAACCCCCGAAATCTGGGTTAGCCCGCTGGTCCTTAAAAGCGACCGTTTGACTTACCTTATACTTCCAGAATCTTTGGCTCCAGTGGCTTTCAGGAAACTTGTGTTTAGCTCACGTTTCAAAATCTCATCCACTTGCCCCATGTCGCGCTGTAAGTAAGGCAATAGGAGGTCGAATTGTTTTAATTTTTTTTATTTATTTCATTTTTTGGTTGATTATTTTTATTTTTGTTTTTATTAGAGGTAGTAAAGATAAAAGTAGTCTCCTTTACTGGTCCCATACTGCTTTATTGGGCTACTTACCCACCACCCCCCACTCTCTCTCTCTCTCCCTCTCTCTTCCTCTCCCCCTCTCT